GAAAACATTACTTTTCTGTTGATGTGTGCCTGCATGTGGTGTAATACGTGGATTTTTGCTCCTTCCACAAGGGGAGCAAAGGCGGGACCTCTTGGGATTGGATTGGAGGGGTTAAAATAAACAGTTCCCAGCTCGCCATTGGGTTAAGTCAACTGTGGAGAGGTAATGTCACCAGTATGTGATGATTACTAATGGGACTTTAACTTCATTGCTGTTTAAATTTCTATACATCCACTTCTGTGACATTGCCATGCTTTGAACCATAGCTTTAACGTTGCAAAGCATTTGGGATGACAAAAGTTCCAAATCTGTTTTCCAGGAAGTAGACCGCTAAAACATTAATTTATTTCGCCTCACACACTCATAACTGATTGCATATTTCTTATGCTTATACACTAAATGCTCAGTCTCAGCTGTGTCTCCAAAGTTTTCAGGAAAAATTTAAACAACTGGGACCTCATTCATCAAACATTCATAGAAATATTCCTTCTTATGAATGAAATTTATGAGACACTGATCAGAGGAGAAGGCGCGTGGCAGCAGAGGGCGATATAGTCCTCTTCTGCCCTCACATAAAAGGAAGTGATGCCACCAACATCCGGTGGTTGCTCTGATGAAGGAACCCTTAAAACTGTATAATGAAGAATAAAAGAAAATTTTATTCTGATTCATGAACACGCGAAGGCCACTTGTACACATGTTCCTCCGCAATCGTCTGTTTATAAATCCCACCTGTGTGTGCCTAGGTGCTCGTGTCTGTTCACAGTCACATACAGAAACGCCCTCAATTATCTATATTTGATCACACCAGGTCCTCAAAAAGTGATGAGAATCCCAGCGTTCCGCCAGATAAAAAAAAAAAGATGTGTATGATTGGGAGCAGAGGATGTTCTAGGGGGTTCTCATAGTCACATAACAGAATATGGACAGGAATCGGATTTGTGTGGTTTGTCCGTCACTCCACAAAGGGTCCCAAATCACAGCATAGCTCCAGAAGGATCTCCTTCAGGAATCAGATCAGTGCGCTCACAGAGGACGTGTTTACTCCCGAGTGCACGATCTGAAAAATATCCTCCAATAACACAAAATCAGCCATGCTCTGTCAGATTCCCCTCGGCCACAGGTGTCTTTCATAGGTTTCAGTGCCAATTATGTAACACAGCTGATTTTTTTTCTTTTTCACTGGAATAATTATTTATTGGGTAAACTAATTTTTGGATGAGGAACAATTGTGGATGACTGAGACCTTCAGGACTGCAGTTCCCCCGTTCTACCACAAGATTTATATATGCACTTCATATTTTGGAACATTTTCACGCACAAGTACAAAACAAATACCAAACAATGCGTAAATCAGTTACTACGCACAACGGTTGATAAAGGAGGCCCCTGGAATCCACTGTTAAAAATTTTTTTTTAAATCACACATTTTTGTCTAATTAAACTAGAAGATTGCAACCTAATCCTGACTTCTCTCCAGCGCAAACCTGTCACCTACTAAAAACATCTGTGCTGATACAAAACAAAAATAAGAACAAGGGTGGTGGTGGTGGTGGGGGTGGGGGCAAACACATCTGTGTCCAACTGCTCATTAGACTAAATAAGGAAGACACATTTAAAGACGCCACGATAAAGTCCAACAAACCTAAAACATTTCAAGCATCAATCATGACGGGACAATTCTACAGGCGAGACAGGGAAACCGCTTGTATCAGGTGTAGCGTTATGAAGTTTATAATGGTCTGCCCTTAACAGCTGCCCCTTCACACAGTACCATCTGGATCTACAGGTCCTTCTCAAAAAATTAGCACATTGTGATAGTTAATTATTTTCTGTAATGTACTGATAAACATTAGACTTTTATATATATTAGATTCATTACACACAACTGAAGTAGTTCAAGCCTTTTATTGTTTATAATATTGATGATTTTGGCATACAGCTCATGAAAACCCAAAATTCCCATCCAAAAAAATTAGCATATTTCATCTGACCAATAAAAGAAAAGTGTTTTTAATACCAAAAAAGTCAACCTTCAAATAATTATGTTCAGTTATGCACTCAATACTTGGTCGGGAATCCTTTTGCAGAAATGACTGCTTCAATGCGGCGTGGCATGGAGGCAATCAGCCTGTGGCACTGCTGAGGTGTTATGGAGGTCCAGGATGCTTCGATAGCGGCCTTAAGCTCATCCAGAGTGTTGGGTCTTGCATCTCTCAGCTTTCTCTTCATAACATCCCACAGATTCTCTACGGGGTTCAGGTCAGGAGAGTTGGCAGGCCAATTGAGCACAGTGGTGTTGGCACTGTGAGCAGGTGCCAGGTCATGCTGAAAAATGAAATCTTCATCTCCATAAAGCTTTTCAGCAGATGGAAGCATGAAGTGCTCCAAAATCTCCTGCATTGACCCTGCCCTTGATAAAGCACAGTGGACCATCACCAGCAGCTGACATGGCACCCCAGACCATCACTGACTGTGGGTACTTGACACTGGACTTCAGGCATTTTGGCATTACCCTCTGCCCAGTCTTCCTCCAGACTCTGACACCTTGATTTCCGAATGACATACAAATTTTGCTTTCATCTGAAAAAATTACTTTGTACCACTGAGCAACAGTCCAGTGCTGCTTCTCTGTAGCCCAGGTCAGGCGCTTCTGCCGCTGTTTCTGGTTCAAAAGTGGCTTGACCTGGGGAATGCGGCACCTGTAGCCCATTTCCTGCACACGCCTGCACACGGTGGCTCTGGATGTTTCTACTCCAGACTCAGTCCACTGCTTCCGCAGGTCCCCCAAGGTCTGGAATCGGTCCTTCTCCACAGTCTTCCTCAGGGTCCGGTCACCTCTTCTCGTTGTGCAGCATTTTCTGCCACACTTTTTCCTTCCCACAGACTTCCCACTGAGGTGCCTTGATACAGCACTCTGGGAACAGCCTATATGTTCAGAAATTTCTTCCTTTGTCTTACCCTCTTGCTTGAGGGTGTCAATGATGGCCTTCTGGACAGCAGTCAGGTCGGCAGTTTTACCAGTGATTGCGGTTTTGAGTAATGAACAAGGCTGGGAGTTTTTAAAAGCCTCAGGAATCTTTTGCAGGTGTTTAGAGTTAATTAGTTGATTCAGATGATTAGGTAAATAGCTCGTTTAGAGAACCTTTTCATGATATGCAAATTTTTTAGATAGGAATTTTGGTTTTTCATGAGCTGTATGCCAAAATCATCAATATTAGTAACAATAAAAGGCTTGAACTACTTCAGTTGTGTGTAATGAATCTAATATATATGAAAGTCTAATGTTTATCAGTACAGTACAGAAAATATTGAACTTTATCACAATATGCTCATTTTTTGAGAAGGACCTGTATTCTACAAGGCACTTTCATTGCAAGAATGGGATGGGTCACCGTGAACAGCGATGACAAGACAGCTAGGACAGCACCACTACAGCTGAGTGGAAATACCTTGGTTCCCTGCCAGTACGCCCAAATTACTGTCACAGCGCGTTTATTCCGCACTTCTTGTTTCAGACGTCTTAGCTCCAGCCGAGCCTGGTGGGATGTAGTGGGTGTGGGGTAAGACGGGCAGAAGGTGTGTGGAGGGATAAACGGAGAAGGGAAAGTTGAGGAAAGAGAGAAGTAAAAGTTATGCGATCAAAAGAAACGGGATTATTAAGGAGGGGTAAAAAAAATAAATAAAAAACTGCAGAAACATCTAAAAACGTCAAGAACAGAACCATAGCGATACAGTGGTGCCACTGGGCAGGAAAGCTGCATACAATGAAATAAAGTTTTAACAGTCGAGTGCTGAGAAGCAGTTTTTTTTATTCAGTATTAAAGAAAAAGCCAGGTGGACACTCAGTCGCTGACATTTGTCTACTTCACTGTACCTGTGTGCCGTGCCAGTAAGCTGCGATTGTGGTTGCCGCCTCCTCACACCTCTTCTGGTACTTTAGCTCTCTCAGAAGCTTGCGAGCCTGAAGGGAAACAAAAGTAAACATTTAACTTTGCTTCTGCTAGAAATGAGTCTCAGCGGTGAATTAATGGACAGCTGTGTACCTGCCACCCTCTGGCGTAGGACTGCACCACCGTTGTGGCACTCTTGATCTTTTGGTATTTCTTTTGTTGCTGTTGGATGGTAGAAGCAAACATTTAATTATGGGAACCTGAAGGTTATCAGTGTCCATAAAAGTCTTGGTAACATTTATAAGGTCAAGCATTCCTTCAAGGAATTCATTTTGCCTGCAGCCTTTCCTTCCAGAGTTTAATAAAAGATGTTCCATGGAGAAATGATGATTACTAAAGCAAACAGAGCAGAATCTCACAATTAATAGCAATGTTTTATCCAAAGATCTAGCACAATGTTTAGCACTTTAAATGTAGGAGATGACATTTAGCTACAACACCAGATTTTAGTAGCCTAGCATCTAGAACAAAAATGACAGTCTAGCTCCACTGGAATCTTGCAGCTTCGTCCAGTATTGCGGCTGGCCAATCACAGCACTTTTTTTTTCAGAAAAACAATGTATTTTTTAAATGATTTATGTTGTTCTTCCATTTTGTAATGGACTGCCCCACTGACTGACATTTAAAGCGGTCCAATCACAGCACTCTTATCAGCCAGGTGGGCGGGATTTTACTGCAACCAAACAAAACTTAAATGGCTACTGCTATGTAGCAGTCCAGTCACAACACTCAACTGGCTTGTTGGGCCAATCACATCACTCTGTTGGTGGGCGTGATGCTACTGATACAAAGATGTCGACGGCTCATTTTAAACGGCTTTGATATCAACTTTGTGTTCGCTAAAACTGGTTGTGATTAGTGGAGTCGCTCATTTTTAAACTGGACAGACCAATGTGTGGACTTTCTGAATTGTCCAGTGGCTCACGAAAGAGAAACACACAGGCCAGCAGCCTCACCGAGTATCGGCGGTACCATGCTGCCACCACTATCTGGCTCTTCTTCAGCAGCAGGAAGTGACTGCGACACTTCCAGCCTCTGTAGATCTTCTGAATGAGAGTTGCCAGGTCTTCCAGACATTGCTTCCTCTTCTCCTCCAGGAAAAAGAGCTGCATAAAGAGAGGAAAGCTTAGTGCACCAGAGCAGAACTGAAAAACAGAAAATCAATTTGCTTTGAAAGATACGTCTGATCACTTTTCTTGAGACTGAGCAATTACTCACTAAGCAACAATAAATGCATTTGTTTCTTTGGGCGCAAACAAGAATACGTTGCAGAATGAGGGAATGAGGAAACCTTTATTCTCTCAAACCAGTGCAGCTACTTCACGTTTAACCCGAACTCGTACTCAAATCTAATATCTTAATTTGTCTGATGCCTTCGTTTATTTAAAATAATCTCAAAAATATCTGAATTAAGTGGCTAGGTGTTTCTGAATAATGATGAAAAATAATATATAGAGAACCCAGATTGCAATCTGCTTTTAGCCGTTTAGCAGCTGCAGATTTGTGCAGGAGATTCACTGATCAGATGGAGCAAAGCAATTACAGATGAAGTAAAAAACAAAAACAAAAAAAAAATACTAAGATTATGTTATTTCGAGCTCTTTGTTTGGTCTTTTGCTGGCAGGAGAGAAAGCACACTGAAATGCTGCAGGCTTAAGTAGTCGAGAAGCCGGCAACTCACTTCCCATGTAATATCTGTAAGTGAAACCATGTGTTTTCAGAGTGGTGGTTGCATGCTAATTGCTGAAGGGGGCGGGGGGACTTCAGCCCGCCCTGCTTTACAAACATCTTTCTGAGAAAACAAGCCAGCTGCGCACACACACACACACACACACACACACACACACACACACACACACACACACACACACACACACACACACACACACACACACACACACACACACACACACACACACACACACACACACACGATTCAGCCTTTAGACTTTAAAACACAGCTTAAACTAGTGTCGAAAGTGGTGCAGATGTCTAAAAAAACTAAACCGTGCACAAAAAACAACAAGATTAGGTGTGTAGGTTAGATGAATCCACTTCTAAACGTGTGTCCTTTACCGTTCTTGGGTTCCTGATGAAGATCTTGGAGCGTCCGTAAGAAAACTCTTCTGCTGGGACCTGCAGGTCAGTCAACAACACCTCAACCCCCTCCCTAAAAGAAACCAAAGGTATCAAAATGGGTCCCTTGAACACTCAGCTACGTGTGGCCATAGAAAATATGCAGTTTGAAGATCTGCAAATAGAAGATTAAAGAAAACATTTAAGAATGAAGAGTTTTGGGTTAAACCGAAGATTAAAAGCAAGATGGCTAAAGAAGCAGTGAGAGGAGACACAGAGTGCTCAGACATGGCTCAACAATGAGATACCAATGTGTGGCAGGACAGATGGGCATCAGTGATTTTACCAGCACAGTGGATGAAACAGCCGAGTCTGGCTGATGTGGAACGGAGGAGACAGATAAGGATGAAACGTCTCAACATGCTGGGGTTCAAAGAGGCAACGGATCGTTTCAGTCGAACAATGAACCGCCGCTGCTAGACACGAAGATTTCTCATGATAACCAACATTTTGTTTGGTGAACAATAAACTAGGATCTTGGAATAATTTATCCCATAAAAAAGATAAAGCAGCAAAAAGGTCTTTGTACTTCTTTTACACTGACCTCAGACTATGGTTCACTTAAACAACCATTTTAAAACTGTTATGGTCCGTTAATCACCCAATCCCCTTTTGGAAGCCATCCATCTTAAAGTCATCAGCATTTTTCCCACAAACATCCTGAATCACGTACTCCGTGTCACCTGGGAAATAACTACCGCAGCAAACACTGATGCCATATACTTCTGGGGAACACCCAGAATTTGGATCTTTATACAAACACCTGGGAGCGTTTCACCAGAAAAAATTCCTCTGGATTGGTTGTAGACATCTTCCAGAGAGAGGACAATTCTTTCTGCCTCAGGAGAAGCACCAGTTACCTGGCTGGCCCCCTCCAGTGTGGCCAGGTCTTTTTGCAGAGCATTTTGTAGCGTTCGAGGCAGGGTTCATAGGGCTGGCGAAAGGCATAGCCTGCTCTCCTCACACGGACGTTCTCCATCAAACCCAGATAGCGCAGCTGATGACGGACCAGAGACTCTGTGAAGACGTGGGATGCCTTCTTATCATTGGGCTTGATGCATCTGAAAGAAAAAAAAACTGTTTACTTACCTTTAGGACATTGTTAACTGCAGCAAAATTTAGAGACTGGATTTACCGGATGTAGTTTGGGTTCTTCGTCTGCAGATTGCCCATCAGGGTGCCAACAGATGCTTTGAACTGGAAACCAGCAGTCGGTGGTCGTTTTAGGTTGACTTTGGCAGGATTCCCTTCAGGGAAGAGTTGTTTGATGAGGCTATGGTTGGCCTTGTACATGGCCTGTGACAGGTCCCGGTACAGCAAGTCATTGTTCTTGTCGACAAAGCTTTCCACACCGTACAGCACCTGGATAGAAGAAGACGACGCTGGATCCAAGTACCTTGTTTCTTTTTGAAATGCATCAGTGATCATCTAAGCTAGTTTTATTTATTAATCTTCACAAAATATTTAATTTCTTTAAGTAATGCTCTGTGACTCGTCGTCAGTACCTTGCCAGCGTAGTGCTGAATGCGGAAGCAGTTGTGTGGCAGGCTGTGGTCGGTTAGAAACTTCGAGTTCTTGCTAAGGCGACTTTCAAAGTGTTGGTGTTCAGCACAGACCGTATTAAGTTTGTCCAAGAAGGTCTCATCGGTGACCGTCCCTGGCCTCAGGCACTCCTCGTCCAACATGGCCAAGATGCCATTTTTGTTCTACCAAAGTAAGACAAGTTCCCAAAAAGTGGCATCAAAGTTAAAAGATACAACCAATAAAATTATTTCTTTTGAAGTCAGAATAGTTTTTAAGAACATTACCAGATTAATTATGATCATTCATATTGAGTGGATTTGTACTAGGGATGTCCCGTTCCGATATATCGGACGCAATTCAATATTGTCCCAAAAACACTGTCTGATTATATCGGACTGTATCGAAACTCTCCGATACAAGCAGTCCGTTAAGGTTCACATTTTTGCAGCCAATGGTTAAAAGAAGGCATTCTTTTCATACTTACTGTTATTGGCTCTTCTCCTGTTGAGTAATATCACTTGATCAAGCATTTCACGCATTCCACACTACAAAATAGGTCAAAGTATGTATGATTTGTGCCGATATATCGGACTGATATCGGTATTGGTCAATATAAAGGCTGCAATATCGGTATTGTATCGAAAGTGAAAAAGTTGTATCGGGACATCCCTAGTTTATACGATGTCCAACAAGTGAGACTTACGTTCTCAATGAGGTCACAGATTATCGCGTTGTTGAAATACTCAATGTTGGTCCACTCAATCCCCTGCAACAGAATACACACGCATCAAAAGGTAAAAATGCTTTTGTATTACTTCCAGGTAGAGTGATCCAACCGAATGGATGATGAAATTATAATCAAGACCTGGTTGAGTAATTTAGTAAATGTACTTATTTAGAAACAAAAGTCACCTCATGCCTTCTGATCCCATCAGGACTGAATCAACGACAGCAGATCAAAACTATACTGTCAAAACTACACTCACTACAAGTAAAAGGTGAATTTCTTACAGTTCTCCAATATTTTTAAAATTGTACACATAATTTTATAGTTGCACACTGAAGTATTTGAATTGGTTTGGACTAGTTAGTGTCATGGTTTTACAACCTTGGAAAGTTCTGTAACAGATTCATAAGAAGCTATTGCATCATGAGTCAAGAGACTCGGAGGCCATTCTTTAATATGTTTAGCAAATTGCACAAGAAATGAAGACATGGAACCAATGACTATTCCATGGAGCGGAGTTAAATAGTAAAGTTTTTTCTACCATTCATAATTGGCCACCACCTTTTTCTATAAGGTCTGGAATGCAATTACATTTCCAACTTGAAGTTATTTATAATTCATTTTAAACCAAATTTAGAATTGCATAAACATGCATAATTGTTTGCTAGTAGTAATAGTAGCAGTAGTATAACAACTGTAATAATTTATTATCTATAATACATTTTAAGCTCAAAATGTAAAAATTTCAAGTTTGATGTCTTAATAAACAGAAAAAGTGTTTAAATGTTGCTCCATCAGTCTAAAAACAATAATTATCCTCACTAACTTCATCCGTTTTCCCTGCTTTACAGATTTACACACAAAGGTCAAAACCCCTTTAAAAAGCAAAAGCACAAATTCCATCTTGTCCTTTAAAAATAGCCAGTGGCCCCTAAAACTTTTTTTCCCCCCTGGCATCAAGTTAGCAGCTCCTAATGGGTTGGGAAGAAATATCGAGTTAAGTGACAGATTTTTTTCTTTTCCCTTTTTAGAGGGGAGGTGCGGCAGAAACTGATGGCCTTGCTCCTGATTGGAAGTCCTCCCCTCTTCCTTCCCCAGTGCTGTGGTATTTTCCCATGCAGCCTACAGGACACAAGCCAGTGCTAGAACATCATTGGTAGTGGCGTTCGTAAGGGAAGGCGGGGTATAGGGGTCACAGCTGCACCCATACTTGGAGCTTTAAAAACAAACAGAGCTTTAACATCCACAATAGGGAGTGTTTATTCTCAGAGTAAGGGATCATTTCCGTCCCCGCGAATATGCTGAAGGAAAATGTCGGTGGGTCAAGAAACGAGACAGAAAACAAAAGTGTTTGTGTCGAGGACAAGGATTTAAGTGGGACAGCAGGAGTTGAACAGATGAGTGACACGCTCAGGTTGAGCCAATGCTGTAATAAACTGTCAACACAAACAGATGCTGACATGTTGAATAATGCAGATTTACAGTTTCACACGAACGAGCAGCCACGAGGGGTTGATGGGTAAATTCCTAGAGAACCATCATTGAATTTGTGTGCGTTCACTTACCTCTCTAATATACTCTTCCTGCTCCTCACGCAAAGTCAACTCGATGAAGATCTGCTGCAGCTTCTCGTTACAGTAGTTGATGATGAACTGCTCAAAACTGTTGTCCTGTTGGTACAGCAACAAGGGGAGAGGAAGACGATCAGCTCCACTTAATGATGATGGTGTGCTGCTCTCAAAGGATGCTATTGGAGTTTATTAATAGAGAGAACCTCAGAATCACAACATCTAAGCATCACAGGTTAAAGAAATAATCTTAAACCTAAAATAATCTGATTTCTCATCAACAAATTCTTCATTATATTTGAATATATAAACTCTTGTTCTTTTAAATTTGTGTCATTATAGGAGTTTTAATGGTGTGGTTTACTCATCTATTCATTCTGTGTCTCTTTAACTTCTATTCCTTGGTTCTTTTTAAATGCAGCAAAAGAAATGTTATCCTGTACCTTATTAGCCAATGTTTTGGCTATTTCTAGTTCTCCCTTCGCTACTTCCTGTAGTCCTCTCGTAGCCACTTCCTGTAGTCCTCCCGTAGCCACTTCCTGTAGTCCTCCCGTAGCCACTTCCTGTAGTCCTCCCGTAGCCACTTCCTGTAGTCCTCCCGTAGCCACTTCCTGTAGTCCTCCCGTAGCCACTTCCTGTAGTCCTCCCATAGCCACTTCCTGTAGTCCTCCTGTAGCTACTTCCTATAGTCCTTCTGTAGCTACTTCCTGTAGCCATGACAGTGCTTGCGGTGTCACTTCCCTTTTCATTTATCAGCAGGCAGCAGAGGACGGTGTCACCCTCTGCTGCCCGCTCCCTCCTCGTCGATGACGGTGATTCCCATGCGTGATCTAACGTGTAGACTCCCTCATCTCTGTTGATGGTTGTGTCCACTTCTCATTTCTATCGCATCCTTAATCCATCTTTTGTATTTTTGTTGTTCGGTGTTTATGATCCCCGTTTTGTCCCAGTATATTTTATGGTTTTCTCTTGTGCAGTGGTTTGTTACAGCTGATTTCTTTATGGTACTTTCTGCTTCTCGTCTTGCTGCTCTTGTGTTTCTTCGGTTTGTTTCCTTCCACTCGTCACGGCTCTGAGGATGGCTACAGGATGTAGCCGAACGTTAACCAATAGGCTAAAGGAAAACTTTTCTTTTGCTGTATTTAAAAAGAACCAAGGAACACAAGTGGGGTTTACTCGCTTAATCAACATATTTGCGGTGGTTTCTAGAAGGCATGAAAGACTTGCAGGCAGAACTCAGGGAACAAAAAAGCCCACCAACCATTTTTTGGCCAGATTTTCTAATCCTAGAGTTTCACTCCATTTTCTATCAGAAGCTAATGCAGGAGATAAGTGTAGGAGACCATTTTCATGTTCAGCCTGCATGAAAAACTCAGTGACCAATTATAATAATAATAAAAAAGTTTTATCAGTAAACCACACCTTTAAAATACCACAAAGAAACAAGCTAGGCTAAAATAGGAAGAAAAAAATGTTCCTAATTGTTATGAAATCCATCTCTGAGCAAATGTTTTATCTAACTGGACAGTCATATCTTTACAGCAGTGAGAATAAACCCTTATCTCTGTCTTTATCAAATTCCCTTTGCACATCAAAGACTTCCTTAACCAGCAATGAGCTGTTAACCATTCAAAGGAATTTACCCCAAGGTTCAGTTAATTACAAACTCTGGTCAATTAAAATGAATCATGCGTCTTGATAGAAGGCGTATTGAACACCGGTTAATACATTTTAGATAAATAAAAAATAAAATGTTAGTTCAGAAGAACGCTAAAACCTTAGGGTGAAGGACAAAAGGCTACACAGGAAATGCGACAAATTGTTTCAAATATAGTTAGCTTTGTAAATTTTAAATCCATTCCACTTGACTGAGACCATTAAGTCCAGAACCCCCATCATCATACGTGGCAGTCTTATGCTGTACAGTTTTACAATACATCCATTTTGTTTGCTAAGACAGCCACCCATCTCAAAGCCCCACGCAGATTGATTTGAGCACAATTCGGCATTAGCCAAATGGATGTCAATCACACAGTGTCCTTAAATTTTACACAAATGAATTAAAAAAACACAACCTATGACTAATAATTGTTAAAAAAATGCATTTTAGCTCTGTTGGCTGACTACAGGTGCATGTTCATGAACGAGAAGCTTTGCTTTCAACTGTGAATGTCGAAGTGTGATGAACAGATTATGGTGCAGTACATTTTCCAGCCTCTAGATGGTGCAGTAGAAAAAAACCTCCAGATTTCTGCTCTAAATTGTTAATTTGAGTATTAATATCAGTTAAAAAAACTTTTAGGACATGTTCACACTAAACACAGCAAAAACCTCAATTTCTACACAGTAAACAACCAATATGAACATTTAATTTAAAATATATTTGTTTCATTTACCCTAAACAAAACCTGCGCGCGCACACGCACACGCACGCGCACGCGCGCACGCACACGCACACGCGCACGCACGCACACACACACACACACACACACACACACACACACACACACACACACACACACACACACACACACACACACACACACACACACACACACACACACACACACACACACAATCCTAAAGCAGTAATAGCACCTGCCAGAATATTTTTGTTAAAGCATAGTTGCCTAAATCTACTGGCATTCAGATGCCCGTTTGTTAAGCTAGCTAGCCATTAGCCTCAATTTAAGCACGGGTGGTGGCAGTCTTCGGATAGGAAAGTAGGCTTTTACTCCTACATTCAACCATTTACAACTACAAACCAAAAGCATCTGAATACAACAGCAAAACACTTAGCTGCCAGTTTATTTGTAAGACCTAGCTGAGGATATGCAATAAAATAAAAATAAAAACTTTATCAATCTAGATGATGTGGATAGGATAAAAACTCAAAATGTGCAAGTAAAACCTTTAGCTTTCTGATTAAACTGGCAACTATGCATATGCTCCGATTCAAATGATGCAAAGGCGTCTTAAGCGTTCTTTCAGCTGTGCGGCACACCGGGGGAAATTTAAGGAAGAGCTGAATTACATCTAAAAAAGGATCACAGCATGCACACTGGCACAGCAAACGGGTCGGTGTAGGTGTTACTTACTCCTTCCTGATGACCCAGACAGAACACAAAAACAGTGAGAAGAGGGGGAGGACTTGAGTGTGAGTGAAATGAACAAGCAGAGATATGAAAAAGACATGAATACATCAAAGTGATGGTGTGAGGGGATGAGGGACTGAAGGCATAAAGTAAAAAAAAAAAAGGTTACAGAGCCACCGAACTCAGTCTGGTGTTTAAACAGGCATGTCATCTAATGCAGATTCCTACCTGTAAGAGCTGAAAAACGCAGTTATCAGTGATTATGTGACCATCCATAACATGCATTGCTAGCTCCAGGTTCCTGTAAACTAAACGGCGCATTTATGCTCCAGCTGTTTTCCCCAACCGTGAAACTTATCACAAAACTGGTTTCACCTTGGGGAGCAATAAAGCTGAACTAATCTGATCAAGGCGGTTTCGTCAGTCCTCAGTTTTTGCAGATAAGTGCGGATACCAACCAAGCAATCAGCCTGGGGCGGATCTGTTCGGTTTTTATTTGCTCCCGAGTTTGGGTGGTCTGATTCTGTCCTCACCCAGAACCAAGAGGAAGTTTGATCCATCATTTTCCTTACCTCAAATATTTCAAAACCGTAGATGTCCAGGACGCCCATGACCTTATGGCGGGTTTTAGCTTGTGCCTGCGGGAAAACAATACCAATTTATAGAAAGCATTTATAATGGCAAACAGACTGAATTAACTGAATTTGATCAAATTTAGGAGAATCTTAATGACATTGCTTACTTTAATGCTTCCATTAATTCTGGTTATTAACCAGCTGAACAGGCGACTGTAGAGATTTTTGGCGAGAGCATCTCGAGCATAGTAGGCCTGTAAAAACAAACGTTTATGGTCATCTAAAAGAGATGCAGCCCGCACAAATGAAAGCTAATTGATTACAATTGTAATCTACAGAAATGTTTTGTTACAATAGGTCATTTTAATTAATAAAATCATCATTTATGCAGATTTAAAGGGTCAGTAGAATATTGTTTATTTACAGGCAAACATTTCTTTGAACTTTGTTGCGTTTTAAAATGAGCCAGGAGCTTAGATAAATAGCCTGATAACCCTATAAACCAGGCCTGCAAGGAAAACGCTGGTTAACTCCACCCGCTTGGCCAGGACATGAATATGAAATGAGCTGATTGGCTGGTTTAACCCAGATGTCTCTATGCTGCTGCATGAAGCAATAAACTACATTATAGCCTGGACAAAAAAAAAGTTGCCACCAAAAAAAAAAAAAAGGATCACACACACATTCACTGTGGCATTGTATCAATAAGCTTCTGCAATGTCACCAGATTTATTTCCATCCAGTGTTGCATTAATGTTTCGCCAAGATCTTGCATTGATGATGGTGGAGTCTGACCGCTGGAAGAAGCCTTCTCCAGAACATCCTAAAGATTCTCAATGGGGTAAAGGTCCGGACTCTGTGATGGCCAGTCCACGTGTGAAAATGATGTCTCATGTTCTCCCTGAACCACTCTCTCACTATTTGAGCCTGAAGAATCCTGGCATTGTCATCGTGGAATACGCCCGTGCCATCAAGGAAGATGGAATAACCTGGCCATTCAGGATATTCAGGTAGTCAGCTGACCTTGTTCTTGGAGCACATCCTGTTGCTGAACCTAGACCTGACTAACCGCAGCAAGCCCAGATCATAACACTGCCCCCACAGGCTTGTACAGTAAGCACTAGGCATGATGGGTGCATCACTTCATCTGCCTCTCTTCTTACCCTGATGCACCATCACTCTGGAACAGGGTCCATCTGGACTCGGGCCAAAACACCTTCCATTGCTCCTGAGTCAAATCTTTATGCTCCTTAGCAAATTGAAGTATTTATCTGGTTTGCCTCACTGATAAGTGTTTTTCATACGGTTACTTCAATTCAATTCAAAGATACTTTATTAATCCCAGAGGGAAATTAAGAGTTTCAGTACACACAATTCTGAGATCAGACATACATACATAGACATAGACGCATGATGAGAATTGGTGACTGTGGTCATTCGCAACCCGAGTCGCACTACGTTAATAGAGATCAGAGGGTCTATATGAGGATTGAGTCAGGTGGAGGAAAAAAAGGCACTTCAGAGTTACCCTCCACGGGGAGGGCAGCTTTGCTCTGCAAAAAACACCTCAGACAGAAACGCAACCGACTTGAGGCAAAGTGTCCACAGCTGATCAGCCCCAGTCCCTTTAGTTCCTTCACACTGTGCTCCTACTTTCACTGTTAACCATAGCCCTAAGTTCTACTGTTGTTCTTTGCTTTGACTTCACCAGGCTTTTACGTCATCGCTGACTGCGACCATTCGTGATTTTTTTTCTGGCTACATTTCTTCCTGTAAGACGATGCGTCTTCACCGTCCTTCCAGTTATTAATGTATTGGGACGGCTCTTAACCCAACTTTGGTAGTTTCTGCAATCTCCTTAGATGTTTTATATTTAATGTCATAAATTCAACGTCGAAAAAAGTCCCATACCTTTACAACATTACTAATGTACAAAGAAAAGCAGGTCAAAGATGGCACAGACCTTTTGGTATGCTACGTTAAACACCTCAGGCTGCTTATACAACAAGTTAACTGTGGTTTTAAATTCTACTGATTCTTTAAAGGAAACTACGAGAGACCAAATACGATTGTTGAACAAAGTCTGGTTAACTATTTCTCTGCTCTTGGATACGAGGCCCATGCCAGAAGTCTCCGTTATGTGACCAGCCTGAACTTCCTAACCTCTCCGAATGTGACCTACATTTGAATTTCCAGGAGGAACACTGTTCATTTATAATGCAAAGATTTTCATGCAACTTTGACATGAATTGGAGTCGGCAGCCGGTAGGTCCAGCCAAGGGAAAGAAATGACCCTTTATACTTCTGTGCACTGTGAGGGAGTGTGTGTGTGTGTGTGGAACTTTAAACACAAGTAGGGCAGAAAAGAGTAGTTCTAACTGGTCCAGGGCAGAGTGGGAACTTTGTCTCTGACCTGGGCCACATTAAGGGTGGTAGAAACTTTCTCCATCTTAGCTTCAACTGTTCGGTAGCTGAAGGCTCTCTCCAGCACTGACTGTTCAATCCCCAGGAGCTCACACATCTCCTTCAAGTCTGCAAAGGTAGAGCAAAGAAGCATTTGTCAAACACTAGTCCTGCAAATTCCAGGTTAAAGTCACAGCAATCCTCAACACAGCAGGATTATTTCTTCTTATTTTGGAATTTTTTATGTAGCAACTTAGCATTAGGTGGAGGAAAAGAAGATTTTAGGCATGGGCACTGAATATCTACAGAGATCATGGTAAGCAAAAAACTGGGAAACACTCATGAAAGACTCGATTCATTATGCCGTTGTCACGGACGGAAATATGTATAATCAATATTTGCCTAAAGGAAACAGATGTTGGGTTGATTAAACACACGGTGTAAAACTAATCATAAAACAGAAACATTTGTTGAACTGGAAAAGAGAGGCGATGAGACTCAAGAATGTCCAGGAACGCTTACTAAATGCTTGCAGCCCAGTTCATTCAACCCAGTTCAACAACATCACTAATACTGGACACCGACTAGTAGATCAACCCTACCGTTTTTGTCCTTGACCCGGCTCTCGTCGATGCCGTTGCAACGCGACTCTGGCTTGAACTCGATGTTGCCGAGCTTCAACACGGCGGCTACCAGCTCCAGCACTGACTGCATCTCATCCTCCATGAACCCCACAATCTGCATGGCATTCTGCAAGGGGGGGTTGGGGGGTAAAGATGCAAAATTTAAGCAACAACATGACCGATCGTAATGAATGTCCGTAGGAAACCCCGCAACAGCTGCAACTAAGCAATAAATGCGACTGCAAACACACCACCGGTATAAAAGTAGACCGTCCCGTCTCTTTGGACTTACGTTTTTTACATCAGCTTTTTAACATTTGTTCCTACATTAATGGAGAAAACTAACTTTTTTAAAGTTATAATAGTCCTGTGATTGATACAAAACATGTTTATGAAGTTCTTTGCATAAAATCATCTCGGCAGTTTTATTCTTGACAATTTCAGTACCTTCCAGAATGAGTCGTTTCAGGGCTCTTTCACTTTAAGAAAACAAGCTAGAGCTGGCCACACCCACCCATTGCCTCCTGTTGGGCTGCTATAAGCTGAAAAGCTCTAAAATCTGAGAGCATAGACAGGTGAGGTGCCAAACTTTCCCGATTGCGTTTTTGTTTCTCTTTTATCTCTCATCTTAGTGCTTTTACTCATTTTATGTTAGTTAACTTTTATGTAATTTTATGCCTTGCTTTTGTGTGCTGCTTTTATGTGTGTTGCTATTTTACTGCTATGCCGTCTTTGTTGTTCAGGGTATCTGCAGGTTTAAGGGAGCCAAATTTAAGACTTTTTAAGACCTTTTTCAAGGCCACTTTGACCAAATTTAAGCTATTTTTAAAAAATAAATTTGAGCTATAATTTCCAGCCATTGCCTGGAACCGGTGCTAACCACGTTGCAAATGTGAGATTACCCACCCAGTTACCATTAAACTTGCACTTCCCCATGGCGCAAGCTCCCACTAGCTTAACCAGCTAATGTGCTCATCTAAAAATAGCCCTCTTTCACAACCAACTGAATGTGTGCGGTTCCGCTTACGCCAACATCACACACAAAAAATGCTGAAGACCAACTAGAAATTCTTGTTCATTGGATCTTTGGTCATGTAAGACCTTTGGAAAATGTATTTAAGGATTATTTGTCATTTAAGGATTTTAAGGCCTTAAATTTAGAAAAGCAAATTTAAGACTTTTTAAGGACCCGCGGATACCCTGGTTGCTGTGTTTGAGTTTTTCGCTCTCCTGTACAGCGCTTTGGTTAGCTGCCATGCGATATTTAAATGCTTTATTAATAAACTGGTATGGTATCACTAATGAGGACCTTTTTAACTAATTGTTTTAGGCGCATAATTTCTCAAATCAAACCCTGAAAGGAAACAGATTGATGTTCTTTTTTAAACTTGAATTGTTTAGAGGCAATAGAAACCCACACGGCAGCGCGAAAGTTGAGTTTTAATAAATGTCCCCTTTCAGCTAAAACAATAAGAAAGCATCCTAATGTCAGAAGAACTTCATTACTACTAATACTCCTACTCTTACTACCCCCATTAATACTATTACCACTACCACTCCTACCACCACTGCTACTAATACTCTTGTAAATTAACTGAAATATTTAAATAAAATCAAAGTAGCCTTCTCAAGTTGCTCCAGCAATGATCAAGTGTAAAAGAGACTGTTCCATTGTGTTTCCGATGACGAGATGCAGGAACATGAAGGATTCCTTCAGCTAATGAGACGAAGCAAAATGAAACAGCAGCCTGTGGCAGATCAGACTGCCAAGGTTTGCACAGCAACTGTGAATAACGTGCAGGAATGGGACCCTCACTGTAGAGCAGGAGAGGCTAAATGCAATGTGCCCCCATCAGTGAGGATCAGAACGTGCACCACTGCCAAGACAAACATGCAGGATATCATCCATCTGTGCATGAATGTACTTGATGGCAAAAAGTTAAATGCTAAAAAATTCCTGAGAGGTTTAAAAATACACGGAGAAAATTCCCAGGTTTAATCCAGCCTCAGCTTTTGGTTTTATTAAAGCTGAGCTTCTGTTAAAAGTTCACCTGGATTTGCAGTAAGAAGACGGGAGTGTTTTTATAGTGAGAACAACACGTTTTACGAGTTTGTTCTGTCCAGGAGATAAGAACCAGACCACGTTCGTCAAAGCGAAGCTGGTGCTGAATGTCAGTGGGGCCTGCTACTGTTTGGTTTATGAATTTATTTTTAACAAGTATTTTTTCATGTCGTCACCAGAAGTGATGAAAACAGATGAACGTGTGCCGGTACAACTCACCCGGACTGTTCGGAAGTTGGCTGCGTCGTCCAGCCCGCTGACCACGGCAGAGTCCAGGCTCAGGTAGTTGTACTTGCCAACATCCCGGTCCAACTTGAGCTTCTCTGCGACACACGAACCATGTGGACGATGATTAAATCTGCATATGCTAAAAGCATGTTCCACTACCACAACCAAAGCTCCGTTTCCCTGAGTTACACACCTGTGCACCCACAGCCGGGAGGCCCGGCCATATTGAATTACCTCCTAAAAAAAAAATGCACCTATTGGCTCTGGTTTCTACAGAATATAGAGACCCTCCAGAAATATTCTGCACAATGTCTGCACAAATTGCTGTGAACACCCATCTCTAAGCTCAAATTCCTCACTTAAAGGCTCCTCTATAAAGTAACAAAAGAAATCTATTCCTCTAGTGGGCACATGTGTCAGATTTCATTAGCGGCTGCATTAACTACGGCTGAACCTAGCCCCTCTGATGTGTGCACTCTAGGGGCCGATTGTCCGCTTGTGTTCAGGACATAAAACAATGCCTGCAATGCACAGAAGAGTAACTGGAGGGCTACGGGTTTCATTGCCAGGCTTTGTTCTCTGTAATGTGTTTTAGGCAGGAAGATTTGGTCATTAATGTGGAAGCCATGTGTTCCTGCAGCAGACCTGCAGCTGCAGGATGCTTTAACACTCGAGTTTAACAACAGAAGATTTCAGAGTCCTGTTTGTCACTGGCTATTGTTAATTGTTGGGTATATAACTTCCTGTGTGCACAAATGGGAGTAATTTAGCAGCTTGGAATCATTATACAAATGAAATCCATGCAACATTTACAGCCCAATCTGGGTTCTTTTTTGGGAACGTTTAGAAGAATGAGCATTTGTACAACTCACTGAGCGTGTCATCAGAGGATCCAGACAAGAGCTGATAAAAGATGTGGAAGTTCCTCTCTCCTCTTGGCTGTTTCACCACACGGGACTTCTCCAGCAGATCTTAAAGGGGAAACAGTGACACACAAAAGGAAGTGTTTTAGAGTTGCTTATCACCCAAAACGTGGCTGTGTCCACCTAAAGAGTTAGGGATGACATTTACACAGAGCTCAAAGGTGATGCATTTCTGCTGCTAAAGCGAATTGGTGTGTGTGTGTGTGTGTGTGTGTGTGTGTGTGTGTGTGTGTGTGTGTGTGTGTGTGTGTGTGTGTGTGTGTGTGTGTGTGTGTGTGTGTAAACACCACAACACGTGCAGGAAAGGAGGAAACCACACACCGAGCTCAGCCATCAGCCCTTTTTTTTATTCCTAGGCTACCGACCAAGTGCCAAAGTACTTGATTAAAATAACACCTCATCTGCTCACTGCATTAGGTGGAGTGAAATTCTCTGGCCTGGCTGCTAGAGTACCCCCTTCCCTGCTGGTCTGGCTGAACGGGAGCATAAATTATTTGTCTTCTAAGAAATCCTCTCATTTTAGGAATCTTGCACATTTATATTACACTACACTGCGTGTTTGTGGAGAAGCACCCGCATGAAATGCCACGGCAACCCTGATTCAATTTCCAGCCTTAGGAAAACCAAGCTCCTCCTCCCATTTCCAATATTTAGACTAAAACTCTGACTCAGGAGCTGGTGGGTGAGAAGAGGACAGACGTAGTTTGCAGTGAATTCACAGATGTACTGCAAATGGCATATTATTAAGACCTCATGGACCTGGGGGACCAAGCTAAATGCGATTTTGTGACACCCATTGGCTGTGAATCACTTACGTGGCACTTAGGAGAGAGTCCATCAATAATACAACACCCATGACTGAGAGGCTGGCAGAAGCAATAAGGAGCTGTGACTTAAGACGCAGACCGAGTCCATTTCTCTTCATCCTACTATAAAGTTAAAAGCTTTTGACACTATTATGGTCTCTATTTGAAAAGAATGGGTTCAAAATATACGTTTGCATTCAAGCTTTTATTCACTCTTTATTTTAATACATTAGCAGTGGCTTTAAACAGATGCCTTGTGAGTTGTCCTCTGTGGAAAAACGCTCTAGCGCTCCCATTTCAGGAAGTGGATGTTAGCCAGGATTAGCTAGAATTTGGAGTCTTACCATTCATGATATACCAACAACTTGCTTCTGATTGGCTAACAATGCAACGTCGAGGTTTTCTCTTCACAATTAATACAAACCTGAAGAAGTTAGTCCGTGTTGTTCAGTTGTTAATGCGAACGGTTAGCTTCTGCTAGCAGAGACGTGTTCTGCTCTCAGTGCAGCTAAAACAAAAACAGCCTTCCCCGTCATGAGTCGAGATGGGTGTGTAGCAGACGTGTTTTACCCACAAGCTCCTTTCCCAACGAGAGCGTTTCAGACTGCAGAGCGTCAGTGAAAGTGTTCCACACAGCTGTTCCCGCGAGATCACAAGTTCACCAGAGAATTGCATGAGTCTTATTTTGAAACTTACAGAATGTGTTACACTGCTTTTGTGTTCGACTTCCTGTCTGCTCAATCTGAACTGCTGAGCTTGACACATTCTTAAAGCATAGCACATAAAAAAATAGACTCAAAGTGGGTAAGTGCTGCGTGCGACGTTACGCGTCCGGTGGAAAAGCCTGGTCAGTGATTGATCGAATCTCAAAAATAACAACTTGCTCTTTAAAAACGGATGGTACCGACAGACAAAGTCCCTTCATGTTCAAATATTAGAAATGCATCTCTATGCTGGATGAATTAGAAGCTCAAGACACTTAAAATAAGCTTTAGTCCTTAACCTTAGTAGCATCTAATCAGCCATCACTGACGGCACACGACTGGCTCTTCATGAGCAGACCCCGGGGTCAAAACAACTCAGGTGAGCAGACAAGAGATTCATTCGTGTCCCGGTCATCGGATTTAGTCATTGTTCACAATGTTTTGTCTGTTGCGCCAGAGGTCGCAGAGAAAGAAGCGAGACCAAATCAAAGCTGATAAGGAAACGCTGCAGGGCACGAGCACGCAAAGGGATCCGTGCTTTTAGTTTAGTTTGATTTCAATCATGAGAAAAACTAGATTAATTTTATTAGGTTTCTACAAGCAAAACAAAGAAAAACTATTCTGGCTGTGCAACACTTAGGATGTAACATCGAACAGGGTGAAACACTACTAAAAGGTGAAAGTGAGCAACGGCTCATTCAAATTTAACTTATTTCATAATTAAATTACTCGTTTGTTGATTTAAGGCGTGCCATTTGTAGTTTTACTCACAGTTGCTGATGACTCCACCCAGTGGATCTCCTTTGAAGTCGAACTCTATGTCCATATATTTTCCCTGTGGGTTAAAGGGTAATAGTTACATTTATTCTGCCTTTTATAATTTAGAGTGGCTCAAAAAGATGACATTGACAAATTCAAGCAACAAATCCAGCAAATGTTTTTTAAAGAGGAACGACTGTTTTCAGAACCCCCCATTCTTCTCTGATGTATTAATAGACTGGTCACTAGATGAGGCTAAGCTCTGCTGGGGAGCACGCATCAGCCAAACCCGATAAGCCCTCTGCACTCTTGAAAATGAAACTGCTGCACCATCGACAATTTTATGATAAAATGATGGAGCTCTGATTGAGGTGGTATCTGGGTGAGGAAGCCCGAGGTTTCTGGCAGATGCCAGGGTCGCCTAACCAGATCAAGTAAATCTCTCTGAACTGAACATCTAAGCAACAGAGTTTGGAGGCTATGATGCAGACGGATGACTAGACAGAACAGGTTAACGGTATTCTGGAACAACCAGTTTCTGTTACGACTCCCAAAGACAAAAACAATTTTTGTTGTGAACACAGACAAGAAATCACCATGTTAAAATGTGCCAAAAGGTAATTTACTTAAAAAAAAAAGTAGTGAATTCAATGTTACCATTGGCAGCATTGGTGCCTATCTCCAGCAGTCAACGGGCAATCAGGCAGGGGCAACACAGAGACACACAGGACAAACAATCATGCACACACACACACCTAAGGACAATTTGGACAGACCAGTCAACCTAACAGTCATGTTTTTGGACCGTGGGAGGAAGCCGGAGTACCCGGAGAGAACCCACGCAAGCACAGGGAGAACATGCAAACTCCATGCAGAAAGACCCCGGGCCGGGAAGCGAACCCAGGACCTTCTCGCTGCAAGGCAACAGCTCTAACCACTGCGCCACTGTGCAGCCACACACACACACACACACACACCTTTGTTGAAATTTCTGTGGCTTTAAGTATTTATTTTGAAGAATTTTATTCATTTCAAAGGCTGATCTTGTGCAAGTCACTGGCAAAGCAGTGAACATATATTTTCACACTTTAGCTGATCCCACAAGAACCAGGAAAATGCAAAAGTTTAACTTTGAAAATTAAAAGGGCTCAGGAAAAATAAAAACTAGGATCATCCCATGTTGAAAAATGACAACGATGGCAATTTTGGCCAAATCTTAAGAACAATGTGTACAATTTTAGCCTAGAAATCTAGACAAGCTCTATTGTAGCCACTGCAGGTGGCTAACATTGGACAGTAGTTTTAAGTCTGGCCAATCACAGTGGGGGTGGGGGGATGTTTACCATTCAGAGTACAGGTCCTTCTCAAAAATTAGCATGTTGTGAAAAAGTTCATTATTTTCTGTAATGCACTGATAAACATTAGACTTTCATATATATTAGATTCATTACACACAACTGAAGTAGTTCAAGCCTTTTGTTTCGTGAAAACCCAAAATTCCTATCTCAAATAACATATTTCATCCGACCAATAAAAGAAAAGTGTTTTTAATACAAAAAATGTCAGCCTTCAAATAATTATGTTCAGTTATGCACTCAATACTTGGTCGGGAATCCTTTTGCAGAAATGACTGCTTCAATGCGGCGTGGCATGGAGGCAATCAGCCTTTGGCACTACTGAGGTGTTATGGAGGTCCAGGATGCTTCGATAGCGGCCTTAAGCTCATCCAGAGTGTTGGGTCTTGCGTCTCTCAGCTTTCTCTTCACAATATCCCACAGATTCTCTACGGGGTTCAGGTCAGGAGAGTTGGCAGGCCAACTGAGCACAGTAATACCGTGGTCAGTAAACCATTTACCAGTGGTTTTGGCACTGTGAGCAGGTGCCAGGTCGTGCTGAAAAATGAAATCTTCATCTCCATAAAGCTTGTCAGCAGATGGAAGCATGAAGTGCTCCAAAATCTCCTGATAGCTAGCTGCATTGACCCTGCCCTTGATAAAACACAGTGGACCAACACCAGCAGCTGACATGGCACCCCAGACCATCACTGACTGTGGGTACTTGACACTGGACTTCAGGCATTTTGGCATTTCCCTCTGCCCAGTCTTCCTCCAGACTCTGGCACCTTGATTTCTGAATGAAATGCAAAATTTGCTTTCATCTGAAAAAAGTACTTTGGACCACTGAGCAACAGTCCAGTGCTGCTTCTCTGTAGCCCAGGTCAGGCGCTTCTGCCGCTGTTTCTGGTTCAAAAGTGTCTTGACCTGGGGATTGCAGCACCTGTAGCCCATTTCCTGCACACGCCTGTACACGGTGGCTCTGGATGTTTCTACTCCAGACTCAGTCCACTGCTTCCGCAGGTCCCCCAAGGTCTGGAATCGGTCCTTCTCCACAATCTTCCTCAGGGTCCGGTCACCTCTTCTGGTTGTGCAGCGTTTTCTGCCACACCTTTTCCTTCCCACAGACTTCCCACTGAGGTGCCTTGATACAGCACTCTGGGAACAGCCTATTTGTTCAGAAATTTCGGTGTCTTACCTTCTCGCTTGAGGGTGTCAACGATGGCCTTCTGGACAGCAGTCAGGTCGGCAGTCTTACCCATGATTGTGATTTTGAGTAATGAACCAGGCTGGGAGTTTTTAAAAGCCTCAGGAATCTTTTGCAGGTGTTTAGAGTTAATTAGTTGATTCAGATGATTAGGTTAATAGCTCGTTTAGAGAACCTTTTCATGATATGCAAATTTTTTGAGATAGGAATTTTGGGTTTTCATGAGCTGTATGCCAAAATCATCAATATTAGAAACAATAAAAGGCATGAACTACTTCAGTTGTGTGTAATGAATCTAATATATATGAAAGTCTAATGTTTATCAGTACAGACAATAATAAACTATCACAACATGAAAATTTTTTGAGAAGGACCTGCAGGTTATTGGGATGAGTCTCAGCTACACCTAGATTAGTGGCATCAACAATCATGAATTTCACCAGTGGGTGACAAAAAGTAATACAAAGATGTTTTTGTGAGAAATGGAATAACATGCTGCAGATTTGCCTGATGGTCATTAGTAATAAATCACAGAATAGAATTCAAGAACTCTAAATATTACACACAGGAATACTTACAAATCTCGAAGAGTTGTCATTCCTCACAGTTTTGGCATTTCCAAACGCTAGAGGGGAGAAATGAGAATAAAGATGAGGAAAAAAAAACTTGCCAGAATTGGTAATGCTAACATTCAACATGTACATTAAAAGACACGTTTCGTTTTAAATGTAAAACGAAGAGTGATCACTGGCATTGTGCCTCACTTTAGCCAGCTGCCACTCAAAAGTCCTGGATGTTAATACCATTTGTTCTGATGACGACTCATAATTCTGTCTGGATTAGCCAAAGCACCAGAGCGTTCCAGCTTAGGAGGGACTAAACCTTGATGTCACGCCACATTTCAGTCAGTGATTCAATATGGGCCTCTTACTTAAAAGTAAGCACATTTTTAAAATACATTAAAGAATTTCTTAAACCGCATAAATAGCATGTCATACCACAGCAGTATCAGCATAACTGCTTAATTGCTGATAACAGCTGACTAATGTGTGTTTGGGCTTTCGGTGAGTGTGAATGTGTGGGCTGCTCATCTAGAGCAATGGGGGGGGGGTGCAGTAGAAAAAAAAAATCAATCAAAGCTTTATTTACATAGCGCCGTCCGCAACACTGTCGGGAAGCCCAAGGCGCTGAACATAGTTCATGACAAAGTTAAATATGGTGAATAAATCGAAAATGAAAGCAGTTCAAATTACAAATTACAAAAAAAAGGTAAAACATTCTAGTAGAAGACAAAGGGTAAAACAAGGGATAGAGCGAACCATTGAAAACGGGGAAATAAAATCAACATAAAAGAGGGCCAAATTCAAACACGTTCAGGAGACGCCAAGCGGAGGAGGTGGGTTTTTAGGCGACTCTTAAAGACTGGCAGAGATGGGGACAGTCTAACTGAGGGTGGCAACTGGTTCCAGAGTGACGGTGCTAGGACTGAGAAAGCCCGGTCCCCGCGAGTACGACACCTAGAACGAGGGACAGCGAGCAGGCCTTGGTCAGAGGAGCGCAGAGCGCGTGATGGAGAGTGTCTGTTCAGGAGCGTGGCTAGATAGAAAAAACCAGAGCACCAAGTTAAAAAAAATATTACAAAGAACAGAAGAAAGGGAAAATGAGAAGCAGAGCATCAGAGGACAAGCGTCGTAGATCTGTTGTATTTGGCTGCGTAGGCAGGTCCACCCCCCTCTTTGCCTCTTTTTAGTGTTGGAGCAATTACTTCAGCAGGAGCTAAACTCTTGCAGATGTGCCAGGTTTTCCACAACAAGTCAACCTTGCAGATTCATCATTCACGGGCATTTCCTGTCCACTGCCCTCAAATAAAAAAATCCAGCCTTTTGTGTGCCAGGAAGGAAGCAGGGATAACTGGTGACGGTGTGTGTAGTGTTTCAGTTAAAGCATCACAGATTGATTCGTAGAAGTCCAAAAGTAGCAATCCCATAGTTTCAGCTTGTGTGACTTATGCATATAAAATAGCCAACTGTAGTGTTGCATTTGATTTCTTAGTGTTGCATTAAAATGACAAATCTTTTAAACCCCCATAGAGAAACGAGTACACAACAAAAACAAGTTAATTAGGATGCAAGTATTCCTCCTTTGATTAGATCTAAGCAGCTTTTCTCTGCTTCTCTTGAATGGGAGCAGCCCCATCCGCCAACAGAGCACCCAAACTGGGCCACGGATCGAGTCGTCACTCACCCTCCAGCACGGGATTGGACTGCAGCAGCTGTTCCTTGACCTTGTTCACCTCCTGGCCCTTCCCACACACTGCCGCCACATATGACATCACCAGCTTACTGGCCTCTGAAACACACAAACACAGAGATTGGACACGTTCAGTTTGATGGACGTGGCAAGAGGGGGAACAAGTGTGCCCTGCCCAATCGTTGCACCATTCCCCATAAAAAATTCCCATTACATCAGTCCCCTTTGACGCCCAAGAGAGCAAAGGAGGAGGCCCCATTTAAGAAGTGCACTTTGTGAAGTTGGACGTTGACCACAATTTCATCATATTGTCATCATTCAAATTTGATTACGTTGGGAAGTCGGGCAAACCCCTGGAAAAACAATCTGGATCGAGAGATTAACATAATTCACCCGTGCTCGAGTCGCTCCGATCGAAACAACCCTCGACTCTCCGCAAACTTCATGTCTGCAAAAACGGCTCAAGAAGCTGGTCATCCTGTCCGGAACAAGTGACGTGCCTAGCAGTTTGATTGCTAGCATCAGAGTCATCTCTTGTGAGATGGCAGTGACCCAGAGCTGGTGTGTGTGACCTGCCAAGGAAGGGTTCTACAGTAGCTGCTGAGGAGATTGGCATTTTAAAAGAAAGATTGGGACGTTTCCATTTAAATCCACATTTTTAATCCCATGGAAGCAAAATAAACTAATAATTTACAGACAATTAAGTTGTATTTTATTTCCATGACGTAATGAGGTTTGTAATATAATACTTGTCACAGCTCTTTGATTTTACACAAGTCACTGCAGAATGGAGCAAAAAAAAAAAAGTACCCACATGAAAGTCAATGACCCATAACGACGGGATTTTGATGGTCTTATTCCACTAGAAGCTTGAGGGCAGTGTGGATTAATGACATCACATTTTATCTCAGATTCCATTACAACGAGTCCTTTGATTCAAGATCTTAACATGCATCAATTACTTTGGTTTAGGCGTTTATGGCTTTCAAGTCGCCACATTTAAATAAACTTAAATTATTCAGGACAAGGTTCTACAGTGTGATGCAAGTTTTACGGTTCATCCATCTTGCCGATTACCTTTTGCAAATAATATGTTATCAGTGGTAAGCAAAAATAGTCAACTGAAAATCAAAATGCATCAAAGTTGAAACCCATCTGGTGAAAGGTAGGATGTTTTATATTTAGGAGTATGAATAATTTAGGAATTCCAGCTGTTATGTGGTGTTTTTTTTAAATCATTCCTCGTTTCTGCGCAAGAATTAGAATTACAAGGAAATCACGACTAGCCTGGCAACTGATCCTAAATAATATATAGTCTGGCCACGACACATCGAGTCTGTTCAGTCGTGGGGCTGGATCTACGGTTGCCTTGCAAACTGTCTCTGCGTGCTTTTGGACAACAAACAACGTGACGTACTCGCCGCTACATATGTCACTTAATGGGGCGGTCCACCATATTCTGTTGAAGATTCAAATACATCTTTTGTTCTAAATAAACTTAAGCACCTCAATCTGCTCTTAAAGAAAAGCCTGAGCCTAAATACTTCAAAGTTGAAGCTAAAGCAGTTTCAAACAAGCCGTACCCATCTTAGTTTCGCTCGGTCGCAGTAAAATTCTGCCCACTAAACAGATACAGCGCTGTGATTGGACAGGCACAAGGCGTCTGGACTGCAAAGGTTCCAATGGAGCATGGCTGGACCACCGAAATAATTTTGCTTCAGCAACTGACGGTCTAGATTCTAGGGCCTAGTCCACACGTAACCGTTTTTTTTTTAACGAATGTCCGCCCCTCCAAAAACTTGTATCCACACCACCTCGTTTAAAGAAAAAAACTGTCCACACGTACCCGGATAAATACGTTGTTAAGGACATGCCAGACCTGTAGGCGGCAGTACTTCCCCCGTTCTTAACCTCGTCCTTCGTCTGTGGTCTTCCGCAAGGAGCAGTAATTCCGCTTGCAAAAACAAACAAGCAGAAAGCGCTTGGACAATTGATGAAGCGAGAAGCAGCTCTGAGAGCATAAAGCTGTCGGCTAGTGTAAACACGGGTCGCACACATGGTGTCAGCATTTTTTTTTGTCGCGGAAAGTGACGTTGCGGACCTTAAAACTCCGGTTTTGTCTGTCCACACGCGGAGAAAACACAGATCTTCACTTTGGCTGGAGTTTTTAAAAAGATCTGTTTTCGTGTAAGAAAACTCCATTTTCGTGTGGATGACAGGCCAAAACGTAGAAAAATATCTACGTTTTGGCAGATCCCCGGCTACGTGTGGACAGGGCCTAGGTTAAATCGCTATATCTGCGTGCGAGATTAAAGTTTGACAACCAGAAATATGAGTTTCACATTTGAAGCTGGGGTACGCAGGCGTCATCAAGGAGTGGAAGATGAGAATTTGAAAACTGATGAGCTACAGCTCGAGCCTCCCTCATACTGCACACATGCACGCCAATAGCCTTGTAGCGGTAATAGAAAAGTAATGTTTTTGATATGTTCCTGCTCACACACTCGGTTCTGACTGTTGAATTAACTCTTCAGCCTTCAACAGGTTCTGCAGAAGCTGTAATCGCCAATTTTGATCAAATCTGCATTGTTGAAACAGAACATCTAAAACCCGCGGAAACCTCCCTTTTGATGCCAGCTCACCAAAGCTAACACCACAGCAAGCTAAAACAATAACTTGATGTAGTGCAAGGTTGAACACTACACTTTTCACTTAGCTGCAATACACAAGATAATCCATATGTGTTCCCTTTCTTCCTCCTTTTCCACAGTCAGACTGGTAATGCAGGTCGAGTTAGCATTCGAGCTGTGCCAAGTTACATTTTTAAACTACGTACTACAGCCTTAAGGAAATACAACATGTGTACAGTGTGCTGCTGGCACAGTTTACATGTCATGTTTCATGTACAAACACGATCTTGAAAATGAAACAAGCCCCAGACTGTGTGGTACTCTGATCTAAATCTTCAACGTGACTATACACAACAACCCTTATCTTGCACTCTTCAGCAAGAAAATGGCTTTGACTACACTTTGAATGGGCCACCACAAAAAAGTACACACTTTACCATTCACAGATCAAATACATATAAAAAGCAGACTTCCGTAGTTACGGTTTATGATTAAGTGGGTTTCCCCCAAACTTAATAGATGACTTTTTTCCCTCCACTTGTGCTCAGAACAGATGTGCTGCTGATATCAGAAGCACTCAGCTATCAATTTATGCTGAGCCGATCCCAGGTATGAACATGTCTGTTGGTGAAACACGGTGATGATGGATGCTGGAGACCATGAAGCAATGCTCAGGCTGCAGCAACATCAGATTTGGTTTTTAAATCAGATCTTCAGGACAAACTATTATTTCCAAGTGACTGGATCAGATTTAGGTGTTCAGATGAAGGAGTAGCTGAGATAATTAGGCAGATGTTAACTAGATTGCTACACTTGTGAAAATGTCTTTCAACAAGAAGTTATTTCCAGGGCCAGATTTATTTTTCTGTAAGACCAATGCACTCATTACCTTTTCTTGTTCTTGTAAAAGAACCAATTTGTCTCACCACTACAACACACCCATAGCCTAGTGAACTAGACCACATTCTTGCTTTGCAAAGTTTGGTCTAGGCATGTTCCATTGGAACCTCCGCAGCTCCTACCAGGACTCTGGCTAGCCAATCACAGCTCTCTAGAGGGGTTTCAAACACATAAAGAGCTGTGATTGGTCCATAATGGTGGGCCAATCATAGTGCTCTATCTGCTTAGTGAACAAATCAGAGCTTTATCCGCTTTGTGGGCCAATCAGGGCACTCTATATGCCTGGTGGGTGGGATGATGCAGCAGAGTGAAACAAGAGTATGTCACATTCATTGTCCAGTGGAATGCGGAGATCATTTGAAAGACAACGGTAGAACCCGCCCCACAACAGAGAGCCGTCAATGGAGCATGGCCAGACTAATACATTTATTTAGTCTGGCTTGCCAGGCTAACACACCCAAATGTGATTTCAGATTTGTAAATTTTCCCCTTAACTGAGGTATTCTGGGCTTCCCCGCAGACACAAAGACTCAGTCAGTGCGTTTACATGCAGCCAGTAACACTTTTAAAACCCGAATATTCACAATAACCCGGTTCCGCAGGTCCTTGTAAACACCGCCAGAAACCCGGATATGCTCATAACCGGGTTTTAAAAACCCGGTTCCTACACCTGGGGTAACCCTTTTCTAACCCGAATGTTTGGTCGTGTAAACGCATAACGGGATATCCCCATCAAAGCGTGTGTTCTGCGCATGCTCTGTTCGCAAGGAATCTTGGTCTTTTGAGTAGCGAGACGTCTTGTATGCGCCAGAACACCGGAAGTAAACAACAAGTTGGGAGCAACATGGCGAGTCGCGGCACAGCACCACACTTTTGGAGTGATGAGGAAACTAAAGCGCAAACAAACTCGGTCGCTATCTCTTCCGAACTGGGAAACATGTTGTTGTTTTCACGGATACCGGAACAAGAAGAACCGGAAATGACGCATATTGCGTCTGGACGTAGTCCATACGTCCTGACGCTACCCCAACGTCCGCATTTACATCGGGTTATGCAAGTTAGGGGTAACTCGTGCTTGTAAACGGGTTATTCTGATCAACTCAGAAACCCAAATGCAGACCTTAACCCGATCATAACCCAGATATTGGCTGCATGTAAACGTACTAAATGACAGTTTCCAAAGCCTTTACCAGTTTTTCCAGCTCCACTCTCCCCTGTGATGAGGATACACTGGTCCTTGTCTTGGTCTCTCAGCGAGCGGTAGGCCTCGTCTGCTAAAGCAAAGCTGCAAGACAAAATAAAAAGCATACAGTGAGATTTTACACGCATTTCCTAGTTTCTTTGAAAGGAAAATATTACTGGTAGCAGCAAAACACAAGTTCAGAGGAATGGTACGCTGCACTAGGCCATCCAGCGTCACCTATAATCAAAAGCATGTGGCTCGATTTGAAATTAGGTTGCATCTGTAGGGCATCCAAGACACCGGAGAAAATCACAGCTTTATTATAACACTAGCTGGATTCATATTTTGGTTTTGTATTTCATGGTTGACCATTACACTACTTCCTTTCTCAAACATAACTACAAAAAGTACATTTGCTCATTATATGAAGCACATGGCAGTGATGCAACCTTGTGATGCCCCAAAATGAAAGATACATTGGTTTAGCATCTACATATTTACATTAAAAGGTCAACTTTACTCATGTTTAATACATTTGCAGTGGTCTCTAGTAGGAATGAATGGCTTGTAAGTCGTTCACAAGGGGTAAAAAAATTAAACTTTGGCGCACTTTCTTGAGCCTGTAGAAGTCCGCCGGAGGAGAAAGTAGCTTCAGGCAGCGGGATTTGGACTCTTACTTCCTGATACTTGGACATCTCGTCGCTGGTTAAAAGCAACGTGACTCTACCAACGTCTGTTTGCTTTGCAATGTTGTTTTATCTCTGCAAATAAGTCGAGCCTGAAGGAGTTTTGCTGTGCTGTAGCACTGCTAATGCTAACGGTTAGCTTCAACTAGAGGAGACGTTTTCTGCGGTTTCCTGGATTTTAAACCAACAGCTTTCCCCGTCTCGCCTCAAGATGGACGAGTCTTTGAATGTTAAGTGACCGCGTGACACAAAGCTGTCGGGCTTTTCAGAACCAAGTGGGGTTTTTTTTCCATCTATTTTTTTTAATCAGAAGCTAATGTAGGTAATAGGTGTAGAAGACCATTTTCACCTTTCATCTGCATGTTGAACTCAGACTGATCATTTTATAAAATAAATGGTTTCTAGTGAACCTGCTCTTTAAAAAGTGCAGAGTTGTCTAAAACAATCTTCTGACTGCTTTTTTCACCTTTAATCATACTCATAGCAGATGTATAAAGATGACTGAAAAAAAAACCACTTTGTGGATAATTGTGCAAGTATATAAACAAAGCCTTCTGTGATGCATTCCAAGAGACTTGGACAATGGGAAAGTGTTACAAATTAATAGAGCATCACTCCCACAATATTTCATTTGTTCCCTTCATGCAGCAATACCTTATGGAGATTTGAGAGGAGGGTGTGAATGTGTTTGTTTTCAATCTGGTGTTGCACACATGTCTGTAAACTTAATTATAACTGGCTTTGCAAGCTTGTAATGGTAACACCAAAGCTTCAGACGGAGGGTTCAAAACCAGTGGCTTACGACATGGTGTCCTTCCACTGGTGGACTGTAAACCTTAGTCTATGAGGTGCTGTATGCAAGTGCAACATTTTTTATGTACTTAAGTCCTGAAAGTGACCACATGGAAAATGCTGCATACATTTGATCCAGCCCATGCATTTTACGTGATATTTTATATATGCATTTTGCTTTAAATGACTGAATAAATAAATTTAATGTATGTTAGTTTGGATGGGGAGCATCGACGAAAGGCTACCTGGTGAACTTGTATATTTTGTACCGCTAGACCATTAAAGTTACTAAGGCAAATCTACAGAACAGTTAACTTTAAACATTTTTTTATGCCTCTCAACTTAAAAAAAAGAAGTATAGCAATGAATAAATTGTGGAGAGAAAAAAAAATATATATATATAATTGTTTTTCTCACAATTGTTTAAAAACATCCACCACAGCTCGGTCCAAAACCAACTACTGGACCATCGGGTTGTCGGTCTCACTGAACCACCACACTACTGCATTTACCTGCGTCCTCAACCCATTCCGTGCTAGCACATTTTGCAACAGAGCACCACTAGTGTGAGAGGTTTAATATCAAAGAAGGAGAAATAACCAGCTGCCACCACTCCAACTTTAGGACAAACTGCCAGAGTCCCAAAAAGAAAAACACTAAACAGAAATTGTTTGGACATAGTAACCGTTCGGTAGCTGTGCTTGTTTTGCAGATTTACTATTGCAGCTTCAACAAGGAATGACATTAGGTATCAAAAAGTCCTCAACTCATTCACTGCCATTGACGACTAAAGTCGTCATTTTAGAGCCAAAATAACTGCTCTGTATTAGGATGGTGTAGGGTAGAGCAATGTTTTCATGATCTGGTCAGATTTGCATTCAAATACATCCACTGGGTTAGGGTCCATTATTTAACACATTAGTGAAGTCGGGACTAATGGGGCCAAAACTCAAATACACCAAACTAACGATAACCCTCAGTTTCCAAAATGGTTGATTGCAACTGGGAAGGCATAGAGACCAGATGAATGTGTTCCAGACCAAACTACCAAGATGTAGCTCAGGCTGACTAATGGAGCCTAGGGCTCCAGTGTGCACTCAGAATCATCCCACAGTATTCTTCATGAGTCCCAAGAGTTTTCCTGCCCCAACACCAAGCTTGGTTGGTGTAAATAGTGAATGAAATTATAACTTGCAAATTTTTATCAAATAAAGATGCTAAATTGTGCCAATTAAGATTTTTGTTGAAGCTTGGTGGAATGAGCCCAGACTACTAATGTCACACGTTTCACTAAAAACAACAAATGTAACAATCTAAATGTTTCCTATAATACAATGGATTCTATTTTTTGTCCACTCCCAAAATCCCTAAACCCAACCCAACCTCTGCCTCCCCCTTCCCCCTAGACAAACCCACAGGTTCTGAATGGATGAGATTTGCCACAGTACATTACATCACAGCTGAAAGAGGCAGCGCAGCAGATGTCCGCTTTGTGAAAACACTGTGATGCCTGACCTGATCCTAACAATGAACTAGCCGTCATACAATTATCTCATCCCCAGATGAGGCCTGTGGGGCCTTCCACGTCAGGGCCACGGGCATAAAAAGAGTGGGAGTTCCTCTGCCAGGAAAAAAATAACACACACACACACACACACACACACACACACACACACACACACACACACACACACACACACACACACACACACACACACACACACACACACACACACACACACACACACACACACACACACACACACACACACACACACACACACACACACACACACACACACACACCTTGTGAATAGCCATCACAAATTGGAATATGAATGGAGCTGAGCAGAAACAAGCCACACCTATAAACACACAAAGCAGTAATTAAAATTATATCCAAACCCTGAAGATGTTACACAAGAGCCTGACTTTGGACACACAGGCTCTACAAACCAAGCCAAACTGAAACTAATGTATAGCTTTGCTGTACTTACTCATTAGGGGCCCTAATGTAGGCTTAACAGAAAGTGGCTATAAATGGAAGTCAAAATGATGAAGCAAGGAGGTCCCCATCAAAGACAGAGGAAACGGTGAGTAAGGTACCAAAGCCCCAGAGGCCTCCCAGATCCCCGTGTACAGCTGGGTGTGTGTCAGGGTTTGGCTGGGATAAGGCCTTGGACTGCAAGTTGTGCCTGGCACCCCCCCTCCCCGTCCTTCACATCTGCCTGCGGGCTGTAATTTCGACTTGCACGTGGCAGCGACTTAAACATGAAGCCACACTGGCATGAGGTAAGCAGCAGAAAATAGTCTAGTCAGTTCTTTTCCTCCTAAACCTCTGGTAAGTGGGGCACAGAAGATGATGGGCCTGCAGTTTGTGACCTGAATCTAAAAGGGTGGAGTAGCCAGAGGGCAGATGCAGCACACTTTAAAGCAATGATTTGTAGATGCTAATAAAGCTGTAATGAATGGGTTGGACCGCCGCCCGCCCAGCTACTTGGGAGATGACAGGCCTTTTGAAAACAATGATGGTTCATCTCAGAGACATGCTTTCATTCCTGGAGGAAACGCATCAACTTCAAATGAAACAAGTGCCACTTTCCATGGCATTATAAACGGATATTTACCAGTGAATACACAAATGCTTCTGTTCTGTTTTTAGGCATGGGGGTAGGGTAGGTGGGTACAGTGGCCTCTGATCTCAGCGTGACCTCGTTTCTTCACAGCCCTCAGGAAATCCGCCTGGCTTTGAAGGAGCAGCCAAGGAAGCAACATTTTCCTAATGCTGACGACCAGGTGGAAGACGGGGAGCCTGTTGTGTAAAAGCACACGAGTACTGTGGCACCAGACAGTTTAAAAGACCAACCTGCCGGGGTAGAAGGGGGTAAGGGAACGGATGCACGAGCACACAAAAAACGGATGCTGGTTCTGACAGATGACAACCATCTGTTTACTTGCTAGGACAAAGGGTTGCTGTTAAGTAGGTGCTACAGAGAAAACCAACACACAAGGGTAAGAAACTAAAAAAAAAGCTGCCAGACTGACGGCTATAGATTGAAAAGAAAGATACCCCAAATTTGCAGTATTCAAGGTACAAAATTCTCTATATTAAACACTCATTTCAATAGTGTTGAGTTCTGCTGCTATTGTTTTCTAAATAATAATCTAACACACTGCAGGTCGCCTGAGACTAATGGGCTCGGCACACGGGAGGCGACATCGCCTCTCCTCCATTCATTTTCAATGAGACATGCGCGACAAAGCGATAATCGCGGGTCTCTCTCCTACTAAGCGAAACGCGAAAAACATGCGTGTGAAAGTTTGCACTCGTGCACATACGACCCAGCGACGCGATCCCAGAAAGTTGAAACATTTTCAACTTTTCATCGCTGTCGCTCGGACGAGGACCAATCAACGGAGGTTTCATTCACTGACCAATGAGCGGACAGGATGCTCCGCACACCTCCGAGCAAACATGGAGGAGAAGTTGATTATTATTATGTTTTATAGTAAAATCAGAAGTAAGATTTCACATAACTCTAGCAACAACTTGTGAAACATCATATCTACCACTTTATTAACTCTGAACCGCTTAAATAACCTTAATTCCCTCCAACCTGACAC